GGCGACAATAGCGGTGCTCGCGGGCTCAAGCACCACACGTAAAGGAAAATGGTGGTGCTCAGCACCACACGTATCTTTAGCAGAAAAATTGCATTTCTTTTGCGGCATATAACCAATATATTGCGGTCTCTAAATTTTTTATCCTGCTAGCCTAAGATACACACCAACGCCCTCTACAAATTTACGGTTCCAAACTTTAAAGCAGCGGTGTACGTATATTTGATATATTGATAACCGTCAAACAGAACCAATTTTTATAGTATTAAAACAACAATTTGTCAGAAGAAAACAAAATACGCATGACTCGTCACGATTTTAAAACGAGCAGGGGATTACCAACAACAGTGTTGCCATTTACAATATAAAATGTGGAAAATGATAGATTTTCAATAAAATTGAGCCAACGATAATTTTATTTGAAGGCAAGTACATCTATTATCTATTCGCGTACCACCTTTGGATGCCTTACGTACCACTTGTGGTACGCGTACCACAGTTTGAGAACCGCTGGTTTAAAGTATCAAAGTCGGTCGGTATAGAGGCCTATTCCCTTATTATGTTTCGTAACATATGAGCCTATTCCCTTTCAATTATTTCGTCTATAGACGCATGCGCTCAAAGAATTTCTTAAACATCCATGTTTATAAACATCATCGGTGTTAAAATGGCTATTCCGTTTCCAAAATTCGATGTTTGGTGAACATACATGATGTTTGAAAACGTATGTTTACGAACGCTTGCCTAAGAGGTGCTGTTAACCGATATTTGAGGTTTTTTATCTTGCATTAATCATAAATTGCGGCGATGTTTGGTACAGTATACAGTACAGTATCATTATCAAGCATATATACTATAGTAATTATAAATTAATTATTTTTTCATAATTAATACCTAATTAATTATAATTATAAATGATAAATAATTATTTATAATTGAAAATAGGACAAATCATATAAGGTTTTACACCAAACAAATAATAATATATATTTTTTGGTAATTTTAAAAATAAGTTTGATTTGTTTTTTAATTATTAAAATGTATTTCCTAATTATAATACCAGAATACAAATTTTGCTTTAATGATTTTTTTAATATAAATTTATTATAATAATAATAAATATTTATTAAGAGAAAAACAGAAAATTAAAAAAATCTGAGTGTGAAGAGAGAATTTGGGGGGAGGAGGTCTAAGAACGACCTCTAAAACTATATATATATATATACTTATTGGTAGAATAAAAAATAACTTGGAAAAATATATTTTATTAAAAAAATACAACAAATATAAAATATCAAATACCTATGTAATATTATTACTCAAAAATATAGACAAAATATTAGTCAAAGAAAAGTATAACTAATAAAATACAAAAAAATATGCATCTAAAAACTATTTTTCTTCACATGGGAGCTAAAACTTTTTGGTTTAATTTTAAAATCTTTTAGGTTTTATCAATACCTTGTAAAACCTTCACTACTCGTCAGAGTTTGAGTTGGACTTTCTCTTTATGCGTCCCTGTTGTAGAAGGCACCCTTCCACCCGACCTTAAAGGCTGGTCAATGAAGAGTTCCAACAATGGTATTACCTCCACCTTACCCTCCACCACTAACTTTCACAGCGCTTCCTCTATTAGGGCTAGTAATTTATCCTTAAAGTAATTAAGTTGTTTTACTGGCTCCCCGACATTGCCAGTCTCCATGTGAGAAATGCGTAGTTTTCTTGCCATTTTCAATACACTAAAAGTGTGTAAATATAAGTAACAAATAATTATATTAAGATATTTTATGATTACCCTTTTCCATATAAGGATGGACTTAATGGCCCCGCCAGAAGATCTGTGCTTTGGCTAGTTCAGCATAAAACGTTTTTCCCAAGTAGGTATTTATAGAATTTGTGGATTTTCCCAAATTGTTTTTAAGTTCATTTAATATATTAAATATCACCAATGATGTTTAAAACAATTATCTAACACAATTTTAGTTTAGTCTGCGACTTTTAGGTTATAAAACTAAGAAACTCCCTGTCCTAAAAACATTTATCGCTGTTCAGAAAGATTCAAGGTCAAGACTCTCAACATATGAGAAACGGAATACCCTTAAACATAGGTGATGTTTGGCTTGTCGTTGGGTGAACATACATGTTAAGAAATCGATGTTTACGAACAGCAAGAAAGGGAATAGGCCTCATAGTATGTATAAGTGTATGTTTCTTGGTATAGTAGGAATAACATACCGACACGTCGCGACGTGTATTTAGGGTATTTCTACTATACCGACGGTAACCGACCAAACTTTGTATTATTATTATTATTTACAGTTCGTGCGGTTTGTTAATTATCTCTGAGTTCGTGTTTGCTACCACCAATTGTATTAGTGGATAGATACCCAAATTTTTATCAACAAATTTAAGTTAGTTTGAATCTTAGAGTAACTCTATTTTAATTGTCTCTCGTAAAAAAATCTAAAACGATTATTTTAAACCCGTATTTTTGATGCTGGTAACCCTTGATCCAAGAAGTGGCAGATGCCAACCCTAAAAACGTCCGATGTGGCAGTAATATACCTATCCCATTCGATTCCATTACAGGGTGAGTTTTTTAACTTGAAACTTTAAAAATATCTGGCGTAATAAGCACTGTCGAAAAAACTATATAAACTAAATTTAATCATTCCGGGGGGGATATATTAGTGCTAAAATTAGTAGTGTACTTATTACGCGAGATATTTCCTAGTTAAAAAACTTTCCCTGTATATAAAATGTGACTGTTTGATAAATAAATTGACAAAAAAACTATTCCAATTTTATTTTGTTCTCCTTCCCGCAACCCCCAAGGAAAAGAACACCCAACTGATATGATTCTTACAGCAAAGAAAAGCTGTAAGAATCATATCAGGGCTTGGTTACAGGGATGGCTGCAGAAATTCGTTTAAATCATTGGGACTGCAAACATTACCTTCGCTATACATTTTTGCAAACTTGATGTATATGAAACAATTTGAGCATACATTCTCATCGCATCAACAAATTCATGAGTATAACACGCGAAATAAAGAAAACTTTGTACCTACATGGTGGCGTTTAAAGAGGTGTCAAAATGGTCCGTCATACTGGTCATTTAAATTTTTTAATGCTTTACCGCGAGAAACCAAACAAATGCCAATAAACAGGTTCAAAAAGCACGTTAAATCATGGTTGCTATCTCAAGCTTTTTATAATTTTAATGAATATTTTGCATACCTTAAACAACTGCCAAATTAACCTGTAGTATTTTAATTATTTTATCTACGCCAGTGAGATAAGAACTTCTTATCCCACTCATTTTGAGTGAGATAAGAAGTTCATTAACGCACGCGTTTTTCTCTGTTTTTAACCAATCAAATAAAAAGTCAAAATGTCAAAATAACCCTAAATTAAGTCTTAGACAAAAATAATTACCGTTTATTTTTTCATTTAGAGCCGTAGATAAAAATTTGTACAATATACGTGTGATAACGCTTTATTAACGTACTTTTGCGATTGCACAACTCGTGCTACGCACTCGTTGAGCAGATTTCGCATGCAAACGTTAATAAAGCTCTTATCCCACTTATATCGTAAATAACTATTAAATATTGTGATTGTATTTTAATTATTATGATTGTACTCTAATTATTTTAAATATTGTGATTGTATTTTAAGTATTGTGATTGTATTTTAATTATTTTAAAATTGTATTAGTATCCTAATTATTTCGATTGTATACCCTGACGAGTGTAAATACCTATGTATATGTAACACAAATAAAATTATTATTATTATTATTATTATTATTGTTATTATTAATATTATTATAAATTATTATTATCTACTTAGGGGAAGCAGGGGGAATGCCGCTCAGTTAAGAAAAAAACTCGGTATTTTTAAAAAACGTTAGTTTATTTTAAATGTACGAACAAATAACAACAGTTTAACTCTTTGGTAATCAAGATTTTAATACAGAAAGTAATTATATTTCACTTACAAATAGTAGGAAAACTTAAAAAAAAAACAGGATTGAGCGTCATTGCCCCTGGGTAATGGGTAATACCGCTCAGGCAAAGGGGTAATGACGCTTACATCTAAGATATCCATTTTAATTAACAAATACTAAGGAGATCAACCTTAAATAACTAAAACAGTCTTAGGGCCGGTTTATTCACCTCTTGTTAAGTTTATCTGACTGATAATTTCCTTGGATACTATAAAGTGCTAAAAATCTTGACTTACCGATAAAATAGTTTAGCTAAAAATTAGATGACAGCCGCCACAAACAAATAAACTCACCTCACTTTCTCGGCTGTGCAAGTGGACTGGTGTTATGTAGCTTGCCCACTTAGGCGTCATACCCCTTACGACTTAGCCATCGGCCGTGTTTCTATGCACCGTATTTATCAAGTAACTGGGGTGAGCGGCATTACCCGGTGAGCGCCATTACCCCTGCTTCCCCTACCACTGCTACCAACCAACTGTAGATGAGCACCACACGTCAAAATGAAAAGCTGCCGGCCCTGCATATAGCTATAGCTATTTTTATACAATTTTAAACCTCATCTACTATAGTAAGTATCAGTTATTGTATATATTATAATGTAAATTATATGTATATATACATTATAATCAAATAATGGAAATATAAAGAATATCTAAACTATAGTTTTGATATTCTTTATATTTCCACTTTTTGATACACATACAATATATAATAAACTACAAATCAATAAAAAGAAATATCAATAAAAAGAAATATAAGCAAATATTTTTATTAATAAATCATCAAATCCATTAAAGTAATTTTCTTATCATTTTCTTGATCACCCTCTCGAAATTTTTACTATGCAAACAAAACAGTGCATTAAGGTACATACACGTATCTCAAAAAAATTCCTCTCCAAATAATAACAAAATATTTTTATCAATTAACCCCACCAGTTTCGATTAGGGATATGGATACGTATAAAACATGGTTGGTTGGTTTAGTCAGGAAACATTTTGGTTTGGGTTTGGGGAACAACATGAACTTAAATATTTTACTGTGTTTAGTGTTAGTTGCAACTATTAGCTGCAACCCCATCGTCGAAGCTGGTGGGCAAGATTGGTGGCAAACGGCTGTTTTCTACCAGATTTATCCCAGGTCTTTTAAGGACAGTGATAATAATGGCATAGGGGATCTACAAGGTAAGAATTACAACAAAATTATATTCTATTTTTAATATAAATATAATTTTATTTCAAAGAAAACTTAGGTCCTTTATTAATTGTCGAAAGGTGAATTGTCAAGTTTACATTTATAGGTATAGGTACCTTTAACATTATAAACCTTACCTTTAAACTCGGTTACGGTTTCAATCAATCTTTAAGCTTGTCAACCTTCTTTTCAATAAATATTTCCTAGTGCTGCATGCATTTTTTTTAATGCAAAAGCACGTCAACAATTGAGGTGTCCATTGCAAAAACAAGGTATCTCTAAACAATGAAATTTCACAGAAGGTAACAAAACGCTCTTATAAGTTAACCAAATGGTTGGAACCAAATTTCACTTGTAATAGATTTTGTAAATTGCGGCCAGGAACCCTATAGGATCATTTTATATACCTCATATAAAATTTCATTGTATGGAGATACCTGCAGTAACCATGGTTACTGCACTGGACCCAGGCCCGGACTGGGATCATTTGGGGCCCTCAGCTAAAACCTGTAAAGGGGCCCTCTACCGGTGGTCTGGGAGGGTATGGAAATTTTTTGAAAATTAGGTGCTTGAAAACGCGTTTTACGCGAAGAATAAATTCAGCTAGGTTTTTATACGAATATTATGATTTTCGACTTTTATTGACTTTATTATTTATTAAAATAAGAAATTCACAGTATTTTTAGGATACCACAACACTACAAAACACATGCTGTAGAACTGCCAATAATTACAAAGGAGTTCAAAATAAAGTGCAGTATTTTATTCACACCAAATTATAATGAATTATGTCAAAATTAGTTGTGTAATAAAAATAATGTTATACGGATTTTAGGGATTAGAAAAATATACTAACATTTTTAAAAAATCCTGTGTATTTAACAGTTTACAATATTGTTATAATAGAATAGAAGGGGCTTAACTTACCTGGGATGATTCGACATTTTACTTCTCTAGCCCTAAAGTAACAGCTTCTTTGTAAGCAACTCACTTGTTAAAGCTACTTCATCTATTATTTTATTTTTGTCCAAATTATAAAATAAATCCCTCTCAACATTAATAAAAAGCAGACTGGACATAAGGTCTTGGCCTAAAGACGACCGAAGTCGATTTTTGACTATTTTAAGTTTAGAAAAAACTCGTTCACATGTGACTTGGGTACAAGGTATGGCAAGAATAAATTTATATGCAATATACAGGTTGGTAAACAGTCCAGATTGAGTAAGTTCAAACATAACAGAAAAAGCACATGTCAAACACTGGAAACATTGTCTATTTTCAGAGCAGAAAATATCAGCATTTTTTTCCGATTCTTCGATTGGGTCCAAATCGTCTTCTTCGTCATTACATCTGTCTCCGTAGTTCTCAGTGGACTCTGCCGCTATGAAGTTGCTGTATTGTTGTGCAAACTGTCGCAGCTCCATCAAAAGCCGACTTCTTTCAATTTTACACAGTTTAGAAACACTGCGCAGGGCTTCTGTGGGAAATGTTTCGAGTTTCAAGATAGAGTCAAACTTTTTGGGGTCTAACCAAGAGCAATCCAGTAAAACGTCTTTGTTTGCGCAAAATCTTTCTTCAATACTCATCCTCGCACAGTCTAAAATATCAAAATATACAACTTTGTAATGTTGAACTGTTGAAATAGAGTCAGCTTCATCTTTTGATTTTTCACTGGGCATAAATTTTTTCTTTGACGTTCTTTTTCTCTTAAAGTCCAACTCTAACTCGACATCAATGTCATTTTCGTCTAGCTTAAGATTAACTGCACTTGCATAGGTTTTTGTTTTTGCGTACAACACAGTAGCTCGTATAAAGCTTTCGTATAAACGGCGATATATAAACAGTTGTTGGACGTGTTCTACTTTTGAAAATGTAAACACATTACCAAGAACTCCAAATAACTTCTAACAAGACAAAAACTTTTTTTGTACATTATGTGGGGACCCCTTCGGGGCCCTCTCAGGCAGGGGCCCTCCGCGATCGCGGACCTGCGGACCTGGCCAGTCCGGGCCTGACTGGACCCCTCAATTGTAAAACTACTGTTTATTATCTTTAGCCCAGTGTATTTTTTCATGTATTATGATTATAATTTAATTTCTTTTTGTATTATATACATCCTTTTAATTATGATTTAATTACGATTTAAGTGCCAAAATTAAACAAATTATCTAAATAATATAACAAATTATAATTGCACACAAATTAGTAAATGGCTGATTCAAGGTAAACTGATTTTAGCGGTTTATTAATACATTTATTTGATTGTTTTACTTCGTGTATAGGGTACCTACATATACCTACATAGGGTGGCCCAAAAAAAAACGATAACTTTTTTTTCAGTCCTCGTTAGATCATCGATAGTGCTCCCAAAAAAATATATACTCATATTAAAATTGGTCAACGCCTTCTTGTATAAAGGGGTGTTGCGGTCATAAATCGCATGTTTTAAAGATATGGCTTCACATGAACGTCGACATGTCGCGACGACATGTAGTCGATGTCGTCGACAGCTTTGTCGTCTGGTCCTCTTAACCCATTTGGAATAGAATTATATTTTAGGTTTCTTTAGAAATTAAAAAATGACATTTCAGTTTTGACAATGGGTACTAGAGACCCTGTAATAGGTTTCTTAAAAAAATTGCAATATATGTATTTTTTGTGTATAAATTTATATTTATTATATTATATTATATTATTATATTTATTTGTGATCTAAATTAAAACCTTAATGTTTTAATTTAGATCACAAATAATACATACATTCCATTATTTAAAAAAAAATAAGACAATTAACTTGACACTAACAGAAAGTTAACCTTAGTTATTTTTATCAAAGTCACGTGGTGGGACTTTGATGTGTGGAGGATAGTACTTAGAGGTAATTTAAAAAGTAAAGGCAGTAAAATTGACATATCTGTTTATTAAAGTTTGAAAAAGAGTGACAATAAAAACACGTAATCATATTTTTAATCACATTTTTGGTACAAATGAATAAATAATAAAAGCGGATAAAAATAGTAACATAAACAGGTACACTGTAGAAGTGAATAATCCTAAAATAATAAATTAAGCAACGATTCTAAACATAACAAATAAACTCAGGAAAACATTTAAAAATTGTACATTATGGACCAGGCGGAGAAAGAACATATTATTGCCGAGCATACCTTTCACTTCCGAGGCGATATACTATAGTGTGCAAGGCAATTAATAAGCTTTAGCCGCCGGGTTTTATGTACTATTTTTTTTAAGCATTTTATTAAATAATTTCTTAAGATTCTGACACATTAGGTTAGGTTCAACTTTTCATCTTTTAATCAACTAGGGTTGTCATATTTCTGAAAATCGAAAGCGGGACAAAATAATTTCGAGAGCTAAGCGAGCTTTACAGCATTGCAGGCGAAGTGTTTTTCAAGGTAATATTAATAATGTTAATTAGAGATAAAACAAATAGTTGTTAGCCGGATACAAGATAGCCGGATACACGATATCCGGCAAGATTCAAATCCGGATGTTCGGCGGTTAAAAATATTATACAGAAAATTTTTTTGACAGTTCAGTGTCACAAATCACCCAATCATTTCAACATTTAACTGATAACAACAATCAGGGAAGTTTTCAATCACTATGACAATATAATTCATTAATATTAGAACCAATAAAATGCCAGTATTCCATAGTGACGTATTTTATCACAGCGGCAATAATTTTTATCATCTTGTTTACACGTTACTATGAACTTTGACGTTTTTTTGATTTGACATTTGTTGTCATTTAAATACTGTGTTTGTTACCTAAATGAGTAAAATAATGAATTATAAACTCTAAAAGATCGATGGGTTGGTGTAAACGATAATAAAGTTAAGGTAAGTTTGAATAAATAAGGTTTATTAAAGTCTTTTTATATTTTAAAGCACATTTTAATTTCAAATGTCAAACTAAAAATTCGTTAAATCCTAAAATTCATTATATTTTCTCACTAAATATAACTCGTGGTATGATTAATTATCGATGATATTTACTCATTAAAACCAAAGCAGCACATTTCACTCGTCCTGCGGACTCGTGAAATCTGCAGCTCGGTTTCAATTCGAAAATATCATCGATGATAATCATACCACTAGTTATATTATGGGTGACAATATGACACCAAGACTGTCAATTTCATAAAATAAATTTCAATATGTTACGTTTTTGAAATTTGAATTTTAAAGCTATAAACGCGCTTATTAAAGCAAACATTCCCAAAAATACTACAAGTTGTCATAAATATACGTGGGGGATATTTAAAATATTATTTAAACGAGAATAAAAGCGAAGAAGAACTGGCATTAATATTAAAAGATTGAGCGGTCAATATGAGGAATCCTCATTGAGGAAGAAAGATGGGACCGAATTTAAAGAAGCCACTGTTAAGACCATGTGGAAAGTTACGTGTAAACTTTTGCAACAGAAATACTATAATGAATATAAGATAATGATTAACCTGTGTAACAGCATAGTATTTACATAAACCTGCCCGAGATACCCGCGATTCAACCAGAAAGAAACTGCCAGCATATTCATGTAAACGTAAGAACAGTTCAGTTTTATTAAGTTTGTCTGAAATAAACCAAATAATATGTACTTTTAATAAATAAATAATCGTTTTGTTGCGAGTTATTTGATTTTTTTATCAAAAAATTTTCTGACCGAATATCCCTCTTACATTGGCTATGTTCCGTAATTTACTGTCAGTACTGTCGGTACTGAAAACGCATTGAATACCTATAGGACTAATTATTTCAATATTTATTGATAAAATATTACTTCAAAGTACAAGCAGCAGTGACGAAGGCAGGTCGGCGGGGAGTACGCATACGAAGACCCAGAATATGAAACTACCTATACAGGGTGTTTCTTTTATCTTGATACAGCTCAATATCTCGAGAAATACGGATTTCACGGAAAAATGTCTTAAATAAAAGGTTAATGTGACTAAAGGGGACAT